AGTTTAAACATTTAGGACGTTTAATAGATGTGGAGTCGGGGTCTATATCTAACAAGAGAATGAGTGTCTTACATATGACCCACTAGTTTACCTTTGAGTCCTTGACAGCAGAGCTACATTCTTCTGCTTGAGAATTCTGGTACTTGGGACATTTCTACATATAAAATTATGGTAAATAACCACAAATTGTATTTACTCTCAATGTATTAAAGGGATCGTTTACTCTAGGTTCTAGGGTTATTTTCAGTTAATTTAGGTTAAAATTACGCTACATAAAAAGTTTCAATCACCATTAGAAATATTATTAAAAAATGTTTTAAAACTAACGACTACAGTTTGATTACAACGACGGTGGCGCCACTCAAAGCGCACGATCTGATAAGTTGCGCAAAACCACTTTCCAGCCAAGGGCTACAGACCGAGGGTGTTTCTTATTTATTAATTTAAAAGCAAAAGGATTGTAATATCTTATAAACGACATATAGTTTCAGTTATAATATGGATAAAGTTGTCCTAAAATGAATATCGTTCGGTTAAATAGCATTTAGGTATAAATATAATTGCACTTTTGTGATTAGCCCTCGGTCTGTAATGTGCAAAATAAATTGTCAAATACGCAACTTTTTCGGGGTGGCGGCACGGTCGCTGGTGTCATGGCGCCGTTCAAATTTCGTAGCGTTGATGTGTAATTAATTATAACAATTAAATTAGGTATCTGGTAACAAATACGTGTGGGTATAGACGATTTGTATACAGTAAGTACAGTTGTATGCAGTAAAATCCTAGAGGCTACTGTCCCTTTAATGTTTACAGAGTGGCTATATGCCCGGCAGCCGGCATATATCTGACGGCTGCCGGGCACGGTCTTCGATTTCCTAAATGCCCGGCAGTTTTTAATTTTCAGCGTTATCTCAAGTAAACAAGGGTCAGGGTTAGGGTTAGGAACTGCCGGGCATAAATTTAGGAAATAGAAGACCGTGCCCGGCTGCCAGGCATATAGCCACAGCGTAATGTTTATCTGCTCTCTCTCTCCTAATAATTTCACATGAATGGCGTTCAAACACTCTTCTGCAATGCACAACCCCACCTCATGCACCCCACTGTATACAAACTCGCAGAAAGAAAGTTTCTCTCTCGCTCCTCAGTCCACCTCCCAGTCCCAAGCACCCTTTCGCAAAGCTTGCAGGGGTGGCCAATGTCAAATTGTATGAGGGCAGAGTGGCAACATTGCACAAATGTTGTCCCATTTAGACTTCAGCTAGGTTATTGAACCATTACACATAATACTGGCTATTTGGTAGAAAATTCAGTACTCCTGGTGTTATAGTCATTACTAAATGTATTTAGCTTGTGTTTTATGTTGCAGTATGTCAGCAACAATAAAGCTGCTGATAATGATTGGTTTCGCTTGGAATCCAACAAGGATGGAACACGGTGGTTTGGCAAGTGCTGGTACTTCCAAAATCTGCTGAAATATGAATTTGAAATTGAATTTGATGTAAGTAAATGACAGTAACAGGGGTGTACATTTCGTTTTCATGGAATGTAGAGAGACTGTACATAAATCTGTATATTGTAAACGTGTAGTACACATGCAGAATAGATTTTCAATTAATCATTTCTAGTGAATGTTGATACATCATGGTATTTACAATGACAAAAATATCTTAACAATGTTCTGTAGGTTTCTCTGTAAAAGTTTTGCAGTCCAAATTGTGTATGTAGTTATGATGTTCCATTATTATTTAAATATAATTATATATAAAGAAAATGTATGTCTTCATTTTTCAGATACCGGTGACATATCCAACCACAGCCCCAGAGATTGCACTTCCAGAGTTGGATGGAAAAACAGCAAAGATGTACAGGTAAATATGTAAACCCTATTAAAAGTAACATTAACCATTTCTTATTAGATGTTGCACACATTTGTTGTTTCAGGGAATGTTCTTGTCATGTCATATAATGATCGTATGTCTAATAATATCAGTCTTGGAAATAAGTCAGAAAACCAGGCCAGTCGTATTATCGAAATTTTAATTTCTAAACACGGTAAAATTCATAAGAATAAACCAGTCCCAAATAGGAGAGGCTGCCAATTCCAACACTGCTAATTTGCATAGGAGCATGGTTATATTTTATGACTATTTATAGTAGCTTATATGCTGCAGAAATAATTTGCAGATATATGGGTAACTAATGAAAGTTATTGATCTGTCACTATTGACTTGTGATTTATTGTCACTTGATGCTCTGTAATATTTTCTACCTGCAGGGGTGGAAAGATTTGCCTGACCGATCACTTTAAACCATTGTGGGGAAGAAATGTGCCAAAATTTGGCATCGCGCATGCAATGGCTCTGGGCGTAAGTAATTACCTAGTATTAATTGTAGTAGTTGTAGTAGTAATAGTAAGTAATTGCAACAGATATTTATAGATATGTTAAACGGTATGTTAGTTAATTTCTGCTCTAGTTTTGAAACGGTTTATGTAACTACAGTGATAGTAAATATCAACCAGTTTAAGTAAGGCATTGTTTATCATAGACCTATATGAAATCATTTAAAATACTCATTATATATATTGCATTTTCAGTTAGGACCATGGTTAGCAGTGGAAATTCCAGACCTTATTGAAAAAGAAATAATTACACACAAGGACGAGGCTACAAAATAACAGCATTATATATGTAAAACTATTTATTAAGAAAACATATTATAAATTCATTTATTCAAGTGAGGAATGAATTTTATTTTTTGTCTAAACTTATTTGTCACTTAAAATAAATATTAGCATAGTACATTTTCAAATGAGTTCCTTTTAAAAATACATACTATCTTATGAATTGCTTGCAAGCACAATGGAATAATATCAACACATCACGGTGGTTTCATGAATTTGCGCGGAATCTTGAACACCAATACATATAGTTTTGACACATTGTTATGTATATTTTGCTAATTGATACCTTTAATTAAAGCAAGGAAATATGAAATTCTTCCAAGCGACTGTAAATTTCATGTTATGCATTTAGGCAGTTTATGATCAATAATGCTAATAGTTTGGAAAGTGGCTATTCGGCTGCATTGTAAAAAAACACTCATTGTGTTTTGGTGTGGTGTGGTGGTGTGTTGTGTCTTGTATCATGTCTCTCTGGATATCTATCTATCTATTCTATATATTAGTACAGTAATAATGGTCCCCATCAGTGCAAAAAACATGGGCTTACATATCACAGTTATTCAACAGGCTGAGCTAGTATGCTGCTTAATGTATTTAAAACATCTAATGTAAAGTGATATGTACTCAAATGCATCACATATACATGTATTCCAAAATATATATGTACAATATATAAAGAATAATGTCAACTTGACCATTTTAAACTCAGAACATTCACACAAATTTGTCATATAAATAGCAATGGAATTGTATGATATGAACCTAAAATCTAATTCAAATGCATAAATATATTTTACATTAAATTTCAATGTTTCATACGAGATCACATACAGCAACAAAAAACAATGGATATAATCTGCTATCTCTGAACTGTATGACAATATCAGTAGGCACGAGAGTAACACATGGCAGACGCCCTATAATACGAAAGTTATTCAACCGATTGCGTACCGGAGTATGATCGCAGTCTAATCTCATTGTTCTCATCCAGCTCCAGTCGCATCTTGGTGGATGAAGATACCGCATGTGGTTGCTTCACCGGTGAGAGTCTACCACTGATGCTATGAAATGAAGTCAAGGACTGTACTATTTATAATAACGGCTAAACAATAATAAGCGCTGCTAAATGTTTGATAAGTGATAACGTTGTAAGATATTTGGAGCACAATATTCCAAAGTTTGGTACAAATATTCCAATAGTCCAATAATTCAAATACTCCAATAGTATAAGTACTTGTTGTGTTCATAGATCCTTGAAACCAGTATTGTAGTAAAAATTACCAAATTCGTCATTTAAAAATAACAATGTAACAAGATCTGAGAACCAATAAATTTATAGATGCATAAATTCATATTTATAGACCTATTGATATGGAAATAAACTATGATTAACATTATAAGAATGAAAGTGTCAATGACACTGTAGCTCACCTTGGGTGTGATAGAAGAGGGAGGGGGGAAATATAAAGCAAGAGTATATATGGGCGAACTCCAATTATATAGCATATCTGCCATTATGCGAAAATAAATGATTCAGATCTGAAAGTCTGAAATCTTGACGAGAGATGGCGCTACGCCTAAATGATTGCCATTTTGGTTTTCGAATATCGCGCAAATAAAAACAATAAAATTTTCCAGTCATTGTTTCTTCGATGAGCAAATATAGGCTTGATACATATTTTTACAGTTTTATTTTCAAAGCTAACGTTTAGTTAAAGTGTAGTGAGTTATTTACTGACGTTTTTACAGTGGTTTGTTACACAAATTTACGTGGAAAGTTTGAGGAAAGCTACCTTTAATAATGTATATACAATACAAATTACAAACATTCAAACAATAAAAAATCAACCGGCACATAACCGGCCAGCCGGTATATACGCGTGATTCACTCCCTTCTCTCTCACCTCGGTTGCTATGGCCGTGTTGCCCTGTACCACTCCCAGTGTGGCGTAATCACTTCATCAAGCTCATGACATGTCCTTATAGGTTGTGTGTTTAGCCAGAAATTTCTACAGTACTATCCATAGTAAGAATCAGCTTCCCCAAACGAGTACTGATAGTATACTATTAAAGTAAGTACTAAGAGTACTACTATACTCCCAAGTACAACCATGCAGCTTTACCAACTAATACTAATAGTACTTAACCATATATAATTGAACTTATTATGGCTTCCAGGTCGCTACTGAATTGGAAAGAGTAATCCAAAGATCACAGCATGAGAAGAAAACAAAGAAACTACACAAATTTCAGCAAGATGTTAGGAAAAGAGTACTTGTCCTAAATAAGGTAAGGTGAACAGTAGTAGTATTTCATCCAGCGTGCGATTGTAAACATTTGAAATAAAAACGAAATAATAGAAAATTTTATTACATATTTTCTAGTTCAGAGCAGATCTTGCTTTTGTTGGCAATACATTGTGTATGTAGCCTATGTGTCCATGAGTGTGTGTATGCATAAGTGTATCCTTGCATGCATGCGTACATGCATGTGAATGTGTGCCCGCATGCGTATGTATCTGTAGTGTAAAACTAGTTTTACAACCCAAGACTCAACAGAATTTGTCTAAATCACTGCAATTTCTTTCACATTTTTTTATGGTGTAATTGACTCTTGTTTGATGTCCTCAGTCGAGTCGAAAAACTGCTCTAGAAAATACAACGCTGGTGCATCCAGAGTCAGGAAATGCTTACCATGCTGGTGACACTAGGCCAATAAATGGCCAATCTTCAACAACAGTGCCACGTGTCTGTGGCTCAGACTACTTGCCCAGTGACCGTGAGCCTGGATGTCCGACAGTCAATTCGTCGTTAGTGCGTGGGGCTTGCGAGTCAACTTCGCGGGCGAGTCCATATGGCGGAGGCGGCGGTGATCTCTGTCTTGCTGTCACCAGCAGGCGAACTCGTAGTCGGTGCGAGGTGAACCTTCCTAGCGGTGCGGCAAGTATTGGCTCGCCTGTTGCTTGTCATCATGTTGTGAGAACGTCGGCTGCTCTCTGCGTCGACGAGGCATCTTCCTCGGGGGAAGCCCACTGTGAAGACTGCGGCACCAGTCTCACATGCGGTCCGGCCATGGAGAAGAGTGCACTTGTGCGTACTGGCAAGCGAACAGCAGGGGGACGGTCCGGGAGGCAAAGCTGTCATATTGCGAGCGCCGTCACAGGCGTGAAGCCGCCACGTGTCGCCATCAATCCGGGGGTTGTGTGTGAGCAAGAGAAGCGTCACTCTCAGAGTCGCTACTTGGAACTTAAAAGAGCTTTCTCCCAGCAGGAGAGGATGAGCGCACGTGAGGAGTTATGGAGACGTAGTCAAAGGCATAGAGTCAAAAGGTACATATGTTTTTGTATATATTTGAACATTAAATCTTACCATGGGAACTGGCTAGCATAAAAGAAACTTCCTCAGACGTGTGATTATCATATGAGGTGAAAAAAGCAAGATAGAATAGCTTTACAATATGTGACATGTGATTGTATTGAAATTCACACATCCTCACAATTAAGTAGGACGAGTGAGGAAGACAGAGGGAGAGATGAAGGAGGAGAGAGTGCGACAGGTTGGGTAGGAGAGGATAGAAACGGAAAGGGGGGAGCAAGGAGGGATAAGAGTGAGAGTGACGTAGGTAGAATATGCCAGGCAGATACAGAATAGAAGAAATGTATAACTGGTTCATTAGTGTTCTACGCTCCAGACAGTTTGTTGTAGATAAGTCAAAACCCATCTGACGTTACCCTATTTAGAATGAAGGAGCCGCGAGAAGAGTTAAGATGCAAACAAGAGAGAAAGGCACTGGATGAGATAGAGCCTCCTGATGAACATGACAGATGCCTGCGATACAAAGAGGAACTAGCAGAGCTGTCTCTCAGAAATGCTCAGAAGCAGGAGCAACAGTACCTAGAGCAACAGAGGTAGGTAAACGAACACTAAAGGGGGGCTTATGTCGGGCTTGCGAGCCGACTCGACTGGAAGCAACTGGCTGCAATTCACTGCGACTGCAGTGCTTAGGTCGGTCGACTGCGACGCGACTGCCTGCGACTGGCCGCTACTAGTTGCTCGGAATAGAACAGTGGGCAACTGGACGCAACTAGTCGCTGCTGATCGCTTTCAGTTGCTCGAAATCCAGTTGCTACCAGTCAAGTCGGCTCGCAAGCCCGACATAAGCCCCCCTTAACAGGTAGTGTGTCCACTGCATGCATGTTAACTTTGTGCATGAATGGTAATGGTAACCGTAAATGGTAAAAGTAAAAAAATTATATCCACTTTTTCACAAAATGTAAGTGATTCTGTTCACTTTTTATGGTTAAATTTCTGCATTATACTTCCTATTTTGCTATTCCGTTGGATGTGACTCATGACTCATACATAGCCCATAGCAAGCATTTAATGTCGTGATAAATAAATATCAAATTGCCCAGGTTTTTTTGGCTTTTTAACTAGTTGAAAAACAATCTTATCTTATCAGGTAAGAATTTGAGGATAAATTTAGTGCCATTAGTAGTTACTTTTCATGCAAAAAAATTGCAACAAACTTTTTACAAATATATACCATCAAAAATTAGTGACGTAGTCAATTTAATGGCATTGTAGGTATAACCATGCTCTGAAGCTGAAGGTGCAGCAAAAACTCAAGTCCGTCAACATTGATCTTCCCCCGCTGTGTAGCTGCCATGTGTCTGTCTGGGATGTGGATACAAACCAGTGTGCTAACAACTGCATGTTCTACAAAAACCCAAAAGGTTTGTGCAAGATTACTACCTAATTATAGATATCAGAGCAGTTACAAACTATGTTCAAAACTTTTGCTTGTGTATTTAGCCTCGCATGTTTTCCATTACAGAGTATGAACGATTGCTTTCTTCGTTACTCAAGAATTTGACAGTTTGAATGGCGGCACTGGGCTATAATGCCACTTGCAGACATCGGAAGCTATACCAAACCACATTGTTATTAAAATAGAGCTACAGTAGATCACAACTTATTTTAAGAACAACTTTTTAAGTATTATAACACCTTGTAATTTTCTGTATTCTACCATGGAGATGATAATGTGGCTACTTCTCTGAGTAAAACTATTCAGCATCCCATGACAATTTAATGTATGACTGAAATGATCAAACATTCTTTGACCTTTTAATGGACTAGAGCTATATATGAACCTCATAGACTGTCTATGAACCAAAGTGATTTGGTCTACTATGGATGCAGCAATATTTGATGTGATAATAATAATAGATGTTTCTATTCTAAATTTTCTAAATTTAGACATTTGTGTAATCACTTATTTGTATTGTTTGCCTATATAACATTCTTTCATCACAATAACAAACATCTATAAAGTTTTTATTATTGAAAATAATTGTTTTTCACAGTAAATGTGTGTCTTTTTGACTTCGACAAAGGGTACCTGAAACCGTAAACCCATGTAATTGTATAGTAAGTACTAGTAGTACGTAAAACATTTTTCAACATTGAAACTAAAAGCCACGATTGGCAAGCGTATTTATATGGCTGGTCAACAATTAAGGCAATACATGTGCGAATACATTCAGTGTAGAAAGCTGTAAAACACTACAGTCAACACTCCAAGTTTCAGACGCCCTCAAAACCGAATCTCACGATAAACCGGATGATTTATCAGTCCAAACCTATCTGAGACATGGAAGATATGCCTAGAATAGGTCCGCTATAAACCGAACGTGACGGAAAACCAAGCTAAATGGACAGTCTCGAGGGTGGTCCGTACTGAGAGAGTTGCATGTCTGTATAACTTTATAAACACTAGCAGAGATAACATGTGTTGCAGGGTTCAAAAAGTGAAAGAATGGAATGATGCACTTAAATGTTGACGGACGGACGGACGTACGACGGACGACACACCATGGCAATAGCTCATCTTGACGATGTCAAGGCGAGCTACAAATGTAACTGGTCCCTAATTGCTTAGAATGCTTGTAAAGGATACACGGAGCCCCTATCAGATCCAGACAGACTAGAACCAATTCCCAGGTCTTTTTGGAAGTCCTTGAGCCATTTTCTGTGCTCTGCCAGTTGTGAGTCAATGTTTGTGGGAGGCTGGTCTCCTCTTTCAGTGCCAGTCCTATATGATTCTAGTAGTTGGCTGAAAACAGTTATATATCTGTATGAACTCGATGGAGCTATCACTGATAGTGATTAATACCCCTGCAATACCGCTTTGCCAGAGGGGAAATGGGAGGTCATGGTGTGGCATATATTATGAGTAAAGAATACACGGAACACAATAAATATGATAGAATTAAAAAAAAGATGATGAGATACGGTTTCCATGGCAACGCCTTGACCAACGCACACAAAAAATATGTCATGCAAAGCTACACTTCATGGTGATCAAGTGTATGAAGTTTCATTGGAATCCCTTGAAAACTGTGGAAATAGTTCACGCATACAAACTCTTTGCAACGGACAGACTGACTGCCTGCCCGACCGACCGACCATAAGATGACTCCTATATTATACTCCCTTCAATCTTCGTTTGCAGGGGTATAATTAGAAGATAAACCTAATACTTTATATCTTTGTTTATATCAAGTATATTACTTTACCCTTACTCGTACATGTAATTTTTGCCAGGTTATCACGTATTAAATCATATTGACATGGAAATGGTCCAAGATGTATATACACGTCACTTAATGTTTCATACTATCGGTAGTTGGGAAGTTCAGTCACGTGCAAATATAACTGGAACTATGCATCACTGGTAAGTTACTGTTATTCACTGATCACTTCTGAATATACAAAATGCCTGTTTACAATCAGATCATACTTAGATATATTGACATTGAAAGCCTTTAAAACAATATAGTATATAATAACCTAGCTGGTTGATAACCAAATGCAGACTCCGATGGGGGAAGTGAGGTAACTGATAATGAAAGTGGCCTTGAGCCGAAATACTTCTGCCATTTCTTCTGTAAGGATCTATCGGCTGTTTCATGAGCAGGATACGAGCTGAAATTTAAGAAACGCAGTTATTGGAATGTGACCACAGTGATTTTGTATGATCAAATAAGAATACTATTAGTTATCGCTCCCCACTGAAAAAATGCTCGTAAAAGATTCATTGACAAGAAAAATACACAATTATTTAATATCTATAAATACTCCTGATCAAACCTATTTATGAAGAATGAAGCTTATAATAAAACTAAAGCATTTATTATCTTACTCAAATGGTGGTGGCTGTGTCACAGTGGAGTAGGAAGAATTAGCGAGTACTGTGTATGGAGGTAGGTGTAACTGTGGCTGTTGTGACATCATTGGTGAGCGATGTTTCTGAAGTGGTATTTCTGCTAAAAAGGAGTAATTTCAAAATATAAATGCCAAAATTTCAAACGTAGTTTTAAAATTTCTTACGTAGATACACATTATATTAGCTGCCGCCAAAATATGCAAATGATAGACATATGTGTTTATTAATTAGCTGGTCACGAGAAGCTATTACACAGTACATATTACATACCTTGAACGCCAGTCGTGCCAGAACTTGTGTTCATGCCAATGAAACCCAGTACATTTTTCAAGTTTGAATCAATCCGTTGTAAATAATCTGCCATTCGTATGGCATCAGTGGAACTTCCACCTGATAGCTGAAACTGAGGTTTGCTCTCTGTGATGTCTGAAACGGGTGAAGAGAACTTTTTGTTAAAGATAATAATTTTGATACACCCAAACAGGTAGATTTATATAGTAGATTATATAACAATGTGTATATTATAATAATGTTACTCATTTGTAAGTATTGAAATACGAACACCAAGCATGCAAGTATACGTCGGACAAACCTGAAGTCTTGGTCCCTGGCAGCGTGCCGAGAAATCCTAATACATGTTGCAAATTAGTGTCAATTTGGTGTAAGGAATCTGCTACACTGCGAGTGTTTGTTGTACTGCCACCTGGTGTATAATGCCGAGGTTTTGCTCGGATGCCTGAAAAACAAACAATTCAATAAATTCAGAGACTTTCTTTAGTCAAAATTCTTCTAGCTTTACTTTGATGAAGTCTTTCCAATATTCTAAGGGGTACGGTCTACATAGTAATTTGCACAGCTCTTTAAAACAATACCTAGTTTCAATATGTGTTGGGCGTTATAATGGACAGGTAATGAAGGCAAAGTTTACATACTCACCAGGTGACGCATATCGCGAATCTTCTTCGTCGCCATCGTCATCAGTGCTGGAGCTGTCAATGCTACTGACATGGCGTCTCCTAGCCGCATTGCGACCACGGGTATAGAGCCCATCATCTGCACTATCTGACAGCTAAAGACAAAACAGAATTAGTAATCAAATCTCGTAGAACGTATCTTACGAGAAAACCACGCTAGTAGACGAGCTTACTCACGTTTAAGCCGACTTCATGTTCATCCAAGCTACGGCGGTTGTGATGGCCTTTCAGAAGTCTCCTGCTTGATGCCATGGTCTCCCTCAGCTGCTCTATCTCCAATGCCTCCTGCTCCAGATTGCACCTAATACCATCTAGCATAGTGCTGCTCTCTGCTGGGAGATTCTGTAACAAACGGATCATAACATAACTACATGGTTTATGTAATAATGAATTTACTATGGCGAGCATACTTGTTATCAAAGATCTTTTACATATATTATATCTACCGTTTCACACCTAGCTATATTGATAACAATACTATCCGTTCTTATTTCCATTCGTTTTTGTCACTATTCCCCAACGTCAGTATTTAGTTTCATTTCTGCCAGCTGATCACTGCTGAACTGCAGTTTCACTCTTCTATCAATACCAATCAACTGCTGATGAAGTAACTACTCAGTTCATAATCCTGTTAATCATCCTACTTTCCTTCTAATTGTTTTTCCTAATTTCAGCGCAGATTGCCTGATGTAGGCATGTCACGTAGATTCATACCTTCTTCAAGTTCGTTAGGTCGTGATTCCATTGCTGCTTTGCAACACGGAGTGACGCTGCACGCTTCTTCAGCTGTCTGCTCTGCTCACGTAAGAAAGATTTTGCCTGCTGCACAGACTGCCTGGCATCACCGGATGCAACCCTACATAATTCACAGATGGATCCAATTTAGTTTACGTTTTTCTTCGAAATATTAGTGTATCGGCAGTATTAAATTTTCGACATACAAGTTTTAGGTCATTCTCATTCCCTTTAGTTCTATTTTCAGTTTATAGAAAAAATTATACTACTTATAAAATGTGACGATAAAAGGTATTGTATATTAGGGTTAAATAAGGTGAGGAGGATCACATTCTCTACATCCATGCAAACCTTTCTGATATAAAAAAAAACACTATTATTAATCTATGTGAAAAATTGTACCTTTCTTCTTCGATGTCACTGCTGAACTCGGTTGAACCTTGTTCCCAAGCTCTTTGGGATGTTTTATAAGAGCGTTCAATCTTTTGTCTCCTTTTGGAGGGAGTAGTGTCTTCTCTAGGTATGTAGTCTAGAATGTTGTACTAATAATTATTCTCACAAATATTGGCATAAATGACAATCCATGCTATCATTTAAGTAATTACCTGCATGTAGACTAGTAGCTCACCTTTATTCTATTTAGTAATATGTAATTATGTTGATGTTTTTCTAGAATTAAACAAAATGAATTTACTAATATAACTATGACTTAACTGTACACAAGACATGTATAATATATTTCATATGCCTTTAATTTGCTATACCATGATTTTGTTCCAAAGCCTGGTTTCTAGGATATAGCTTTGCCTGAGTGGTGTGAGGTGAGGTAGTTAGTTCCTGTATGGCCATGGGCCCTGTAGTCGTTGGTGCATCAGTCATTGTAGCTGCATGATGTATACCTGAGAAATCATACCAAAACAGGACCTCGTTACAATACAAATCTTATTTCTTGTTGCTTCTAAAAGTTTCTCATTGTATAATTGTAGACTTTGCTCATACATTTTATTCTTTTGCTCATACACTCAGTATTTCATAGCACTCTGAGAGCCCACTTAATCGTATTTAAAATTTCAACTCACACCACATCATTTAAAGGGGGGAGGGGCAATGGAGGTCTAGTGAATTTCAGACTTGAATTCTTGCTGAAAGGTCTAGGGTTCAAGCCCCACCCTGGCCACTGCTGCTGTTCCATTGAGCAATGAAATTTACTCTGAATTGCTTCAGTCGACACCTGCTAGAGCTAACAAATTACGCCAGCACAACAGTGAGTAGCTTAATTGTTACAGCACACAGGTGCTCTGGACCTATGCTTCATGATTGGAGCCAAGGGCTTAAAACACACCATGTAATGTTGGAGCATGTCGGAGGGGTTTGTCTAATAGTTCTTCCTGCTCAACTGTTTCCTGCTCTGCTCTAACCAGAATGCTTTCACCATCACGGCCAGTACTAGTTGGAACTTCATCCCTGTTGTCCAAAAACAATGAAACCATAGTTGTTATATATAAATATTATTGAAAGTATGGTCAATTAGTAAGCAATAATATATCCGTTTTTTTTTGTACTGCGAGAGAGCTGCCAATTACCACATGATTCAGTTACCTTGATTTGGTTCTATTCGATACCATGTTTGCTATCGTTCCAGCATTGAACTCCTTTTGTGTTTGCATCACAGTCAACGCTGCTTTTCGTTCAGTTATGGCAGCATTGAGGTTCTGTAACTCTTTCTGCCGTAGCTGTATTTGCTGTGATAGCTCATCAATGGTGTCCAGAAAGGTTTGCTGCTGTAAATCCAGAGCCTGTGGTTGGTCAGTCTGGCTGCCTGTCTCCTGCATACAGTAAACTTGGGGTATATTGTAATTCCATTTTGTTATAAATTGATATTTTCAACAAGGTATGTTCTATCACTAAATACATCATCACAAATCTTTATTACAACACATCTGTAAGGGGTCATAGATTAAAAAACCCATTTATATAGCATATCAGTTTACATGTTATCTGCAAACATAAACAATCAAAAATGGGCATTAATATTACATTTAGATATGACTGGCAGTTAGTATCGTAAAGTACGGTCGCAACCAACACTAACCACTTCATCTTGCCTGACTACATTCAGCTTTAGCTGTAGATTTCTCTGGTTCATAACCGGCTTCTCTTTATTTTCGAGTTCCTTCATCTCTTCATCAAGCTTCCTCTGCCTTTCTGCATTAATGCTGACTCTCTCTTCCAGTTCACTTTCCTGTATTATATTAAAGAATGTTTATCAAGACTATCAGAATATTCAACAGAGTAATAACATTACCTAATCATGCACATGACTCTACATGAGATCACTTACATTTCAACATTATAGTAATTAATATTAACCACACTGTTTTATCAGCTCATTGATCAAAATGTGATTTTTTATGTAAAAAGCACACCTTTGCATCAGATTCGCTTTTCATAGATACTATTCGGGTTTCAAACTCGTCCCGTAGATGGCGCAGCTGTGTAGCTTGCTCAGCAAGCAACACCGCCTTTTGCTTTTCCGTGTTTTCACACAAGTTATTCTTGAGTTCTATTTCCTGCAAGAGTTGAGAGAGATGAGGTGTATTTTGCAGGTTAAATTCTTAACATAAATAATACCTCTGATATCAGAGATATGTTTATCACGTAAGCCAAATTTCACAAGTTGAACTCTCATCATGAATAAAATCGGTGGTATCACTTGTTTATACAAGTATTTATATATCTGAGACCACTACATGGTTGAAGTGATGCTTCCAATTGAAGGGACAGACTTACAATTTGATCTTAGTAAGGTGTGATATGATTATTAGAATAAAGCTAACAGCTGCAACTATAGTTCTGGAGTGACACTGCATAGAGAAGGAATTGGCCTGAAAACAACCAGCTACCTGCTTTGCAAACTTGCTCCGCAACTGCTGCAACGACGTCTGATGTTCCTGTTGAAGGCTTCTCAGCTCTTCATCATGTACCGTCTTCATCGCTTCCTTCTTCTCCCTCAGCACGTCACTCAGGTCTCTCTCCAAGGTGGAGAAGACAGCCTGCCTCTCTGCCAGCATGTCTAGCTCTGCCTGCTTCTGTCTGAGCTGCACAGCCTGCGCCTCTGTAAGCTTTCCTTGCAATTCCTCCATTGTAGAATCATGTGTCTCCTGTAGGTGGCGCTGCATGACATGAACAGCAGACTCGTGCTTCTCCTCCATGTCTGACTTCATCCTGCACAGCTCCCTTTCTTGCTTGTCCTTCATCTCCGTTATTACCTGTAGGAAGTATTTTGTCAGTTAAATTATCTGCACTTTGTGTGGCTCTGCCTGTAATGTTGCACTGTCAAGTTTCTCAAGATACTGAAAGCCAATAAATTGACAAAAACAGATATCACCACGACCACTGTGAGAAACTAAATATACACAAGGGACAAGGCTATATAGCAATGTAATAGCAAGCAATATATAGATATTAAGCCATATCTTTAACCTTATTTGAGGCTTGATCCTTTTACTGACTGATCAGTTATTTGTTCTTAAATATTCAGTAATTTCAAAGTCAGCCATTTAAAACATCAATTTTTGGTGAATTATAATACACATAGATAGTAAAAGAGATCTTAGTATACATAACTACAACAGCACCTTCTCGTTCTCAATTTGCAAAGAAGCTCGAATATCTTCTAATTCCTGCTTTTGCACTGCTACTAGTCGGTTCTTCTCTGCCTCCTTCTCCTCTTCTACCTCCTTACGGATTTTCTCTCCAGCTCCCTTTTTCTTTTCTTCTAGTTTGTTTTTTTCGACCTCAATAGTACTCTCAATATCTGCTCTGATCCTGCTTAGATTTTCTTTCATAACTTCCCTGTAAACACAATAATTTTACAGATACCATCAGATTCTGTCATAAGTGAAAAATCTATAACAAGTTCACAACAACATAGCGCATTAGATTATACTTAAAATTGTGTCATCTTGTCAATTAAATGTTTGTTTTTTAATACACAATTTAAATGCAGGTGACAAACGCACCCGAGACGTCTTTCCTCTTCTTCCTCCTCTTCCTGGAATCTCTCTTTTATCCTGTTCAGGGCTTCCTGCTGGGTATTCTTGAGTATAGTCTCTTCATTCTCAACAGATGTGCTCAACTGTCGCTGAAGTATACTGAAACAACACCAAGCAAATATCTGTGCATGCTGCTTGAAAGCAGCAAAATTTAAAACTATCAATTGATTTCTGAATTTATAATATTTATAATAATTGAAATGATTGAAATACAAGATGTAACTATGGCGACTGCCAGAACATGACGAAAACATTGATAGGTCCTGCGACCAAAAAGCAAAGCCATGACATAGTTACTACATACATGCAATTCGAATCAAATACAAAAGTACAGTTGCAGACAGATAACACATGTTATTCATCATTTAACATGTTTTTAAATGTTCCAGCATTCATCAAGATTACATGGAAAGACAGTTACACTTGCAAAACCTGGCTCATTTTCATGACACACATAAAAACTAAGCACTTACTTGCAGTCAACTTAAATAAAACAACACAGGGACATTATGCCAGCTTGGTTTATTTGTGTTGTTATATTGTGTTTAATCATGGCTCCTACCTACCTCAGCTTGTCAGTCTTCTGGACACGCAGCTGCTCTTCTTCTGAGCATGTCTCTCTCTCCAACTTATCCTTCTCCCTCCTTAGAGACTCCTCCTTTTCATGGAGAAGCTGTGCACGGGATTCCTCAAACTCCTGTTCCAGCATCTTTTTGAGATTCCTAAGGGCTTCTTGAGATTTTTTCTTTAGCCTATCATGATATTATTATTCGCTTAATTTATATGAAAAATTCGCTTCCTACAAACAGTTACATATTATGTTTTATGTAAATGATAAGATATTGCATCATGTCACATAATATCACATCACACCATATCATATAATGTAATGTGAAATCAGTTATTGGGATATCATAGTAATGATAATTCTCTTTATTACAGGATTTCACATGTAAATGTGAAATTCACTGCAGTGGCACAGTGAAATAAGATGTATTTCAAATTACGCAAATAATCTGAGTTAGTCACCACATTAATTGATGACATTAAGGGTGTCACAAACCTAATCATTTCCTCACTACTTTGTAGCCCTTCCATCGGTGGAGCCTCATTATTTCTAAAATAACAAATTTACATCATTACTGCATAATCATGGTGAGCATATTTAAAATTTGAATACCTGCCATCTGCACCTTGCTCTCCTGAGACATTGGTATCAATGATTACTAAATAATATCCTAATTTTAAGGAGCAATTTTCTTCGCATACCTAATATCCTCACTCTCTGTTTCCGAATCATTATCGGTCGTGCCTATTTTTCCAAAGGAGGTTAGTTTGAGGAGAGGCTTTGCACGGATCTTATCAGGCGACCTTGGTGTGATGGTAGGTGTCTGTATGATAACAAAACTATCACTACTACTATCGTACTGTTACTAACTGTAAACCTTATATAAAAATATAGTGGGTTTCTATAAATAATGTAGAAAGGATTTAAGAAGGATAAATAATAGACTGGTGTGTCTAATTCAAGTTAGATAATCACTTTTCATCTTTTACTTTTTTATTTTTATTTATTTGGCCAAGTCAATTAAAAATGATCTTTGATATGCATTCCTTTGATATTAATCCATAATTTTGCTGCACCTGCGCCTTTTCCAGCATGCTCTTTCTCTCTAAAGGTTTTGGTTCTGGCTTTTTCTCCAGCTTGACAGGTCTTCCCTCAGTGCTGCTCTCGTCGGCCGACTCCTGCTGCAAGGCTGGCTTCAGTGAGCTGGCTTCTTTCACGATCAGCGGGCTGCTGTCAGTGAAATCCTCTTCATGCTCAGCATCATCCCTCACTAGCAGGTCAAAGTTGTGCGACTCTAGGGGCTGGCATATAAACGCAATCGTATAGCATTAACCGATTCACTGATTAAATGGTTTTAGCTCTCTTCACTAATTGTAAGGTTGCAGACACGCACGCACGCACACACTCACGCACGCACACAAACACACATACACACACACGCGCGCGCACACGCACGCACGCACGCACGCACGCACACACACACACACACACACACACA